GAACATCTGTCCGCATCGCACGTGGTAACTCCGGAGGCCCTTGGCCCGTAGGCGGCCTCTCTCCCGACGAGGTTGCAGCGTGGCCCGTTCTGCGGCAGGCGAAGTGGCACCATCCGCAATCTGCTCGGTCTCGTCATTGCGTTCCTGGGGTTCGCTCGCCCGCTCATTCTACTTCCGCACTGTCCGCGTTTCTTTCTCTCTCGGCAAACTCTAATCGCTCTCAATTCCAAATCACGCGCACTCACTTCTCCCTCAATCAACAAGAAATCTCCTGTGTGACGACGTCGAGAATGGTCCGCAGCCAGCAGATGGATGCGCGCAGCGCGCACAAGAGATTGGAATCGCGAATTCAAGAATGGGACGTTCTCCGCCGCCCGGTCGAAGGTCATGGTCGGCTCTTGGTCGTGAAGAACGTCTCACTTGATGGCCGCGCCGGCTGTACGCTGGAACGGTCTTCGCTCTCACGCGCGGCTTCACGCTCCGCCGTCGTCGATTAAACTCTCACGCTCGAATTGGCGGATTTGAACTCCGCGAGCGTGTCACCCTGTGGACATGGGGGCGTAGCGCCGAAGGCGAGTTTTCCGCCTTGCGCGGTACACTTGTTCGTACCGCCCCTCGGCCAATCTCCTTCTGCCTTGACGCGTGTGTCCGCATGTCGGACAAAAATTCAACTCCTGCCTGTGCGCAGGCAGGGGCCTCGGCGGATTCTCCGCCGGCGCGGAACTTGAACATCCTCCTGTGCACAGGCGTTCGCCTGTGCGCATGCGAATTCCGTCCGCGGCGCTGCGCTGGCGCGGAAGGCGTTGACCGTGGTCAGCCGTCTCCGTCCAGTCTGTCCGTTCCTTGTCTCTCCGTCGGCGCTTCCGCCGCCGCAACTCCGTCCGTCCAAGAGCGCATCCACCCGTGCCGTCCGCACGGTCCGTACCTGTTGGATTACTCTGGCGGCTCTTCCGACGTACGCGGCGCTGCGCTGGCGCGGAAGGCGCCGTACACTTTCTACCTCACAAGGCGCATTTCTAGGGCCCAAGGCGGATTTTCCGCGACGCCGAAGTGCCTGTGCACAAGCGTACGCCTGTGCGTAGGCGGACTTCGCGCCTTCCCTAACCCTACTTCGCCTGTGCACAGGCGAACGCCTTCGTCCGTGCATAGGACAAAACTTGAATCCCCCTTCCGCGTAGGCGGAATTCGCGCCGGTGGCGAACTCCTTCCGCCGTAGGCGACCGCCTCCGTTTCTTCCAGTAGCGATAACTCCCTAAGTCCTCGTCCGTTCCAAGCGTTCTTGGGCTCGTTAGAATCAGCGCGTCGAGCTCTTTCCAACGGGACCCTAACTTGGTCAAGGCGCCCAAGGGTTGACCTAATTACGGGGGCTTCCCTACAGCCGCGGACGCAACCTCCGAAGGCGGGTTTTGCGCCTTGCGCCGTAGAGATCCTAACTGCGGAGCTCGCAGGGAGGGTGGTGCCTGTCCTTACTGCGGCACCCCAAATCCCAGATTCTACAAGATCCCTCGAGAATCCCCGCGATCTTCCGGATTCACTCTGTTTTGATGTACCGAAGGCTATTTACAATGCTGCCAGGGTACAGTTTTTCAAAAATGTTTTAATTTCCTCAAAATTGCCAAAAGTGGGGTACCACAATGACAACATGAGCCTGAAAGAATCAGTTACTGTGATGAATGTGGAGAAAATATGGAACACTTTGAGTTGGACCAACTATGCGCGTGGATAGAGAAAGATACTTGTACAAACAAACTTAGCTGGATTCCTTTCCTCTTGAGCACCAAGACTGTTAGTATTCCACACTAGTCCTTGGTTTAGAAACGATAATGATCGTCAAGTTTAGAAGCAAGGGATTCGCAATGGACTCCGTGTTCCAAGACACCTCAATGTCTTGGAAAAAAGAACATTTCCGACGATTAGCACAGACCAGGTGCAAGCATGTGTCTAGTAGGATGGGTAAATGTGTTGAATAAGGAAGTATGTAGAATCAAGAAACATTGACAGGATTGTAATCAAAGTCATGGATAAGCAATAGTATATCGTTTAGTTAAACCCATAGCAGGGGCGGAACCTGGGCGCTTCTCGTGAGATACATAAACTCGCGAGCCCCGCCAGTTAAATATACCTTTCTCCGCCGCTCGTGTAGTATCTGTTTTGATCAGTTTAATGTCTGATACGAGGGTCCTTGACCCTCACGATATTATTCTAATTTCTCTCACGGGTGCGAGTCCAACGGTGCAGCTTGCTCCTTCGGACTAGCCGGCGTCCCCTTGGTATTGCACTATGTCCTTGGAAGGCGCAGCCCTCTTTCCTCTCACGAGGAAACCAAACACCACAACAAGGAAGGCTGCAGAGTGGCATACTGATCTCTCTTGAAACTGAGGGCAAACCTGCATCATGGTTGCCCTATCTGCACACTGCATTGACCTGGCCTTCCATGGACGTAGGTTGGGCTTGAAGCCTTCGTCAAATCCAGCACCAATTATGTCAAAACGATGCCGTCGACCACTAGTGCAGGAAGAAGTACAGCGATTGCAGCCGTGACGACTGATAGTAAGTAGAAAGTGACATTGGGAAAGTGGACAAAATACGCCAGTCTGAGCTGAATCTGTATCTGAAGTGAACGTTGCATGGGAATCTGAAAACACGGATCCCACCCTCTATGAAAAGTATGAAGTCCTTGCGCTTGACAGTGTGAGGGTTCGAACCTTCTGAAGGCAATATCTTAACGTTCTCAAGAAAAGCTTAAGGAGATCTCAAAACTCGGTCTAGGTAGGTATGAAACCTGCGAAGGGTCTCTACATCTTCAAGTTCACATCTGCAAGCGCTCGAAATGGCTACTTTTTGTCTGGCCTGAAGTTTGGACACAGCACTCAGACGGACTATTTACTTGTGAAATGCAAGATGGATTCAAACCGAATCTTGAAAAAGATGGATGATTTTTCTGCACTCAGATTAATTTTAGCTCATCGGCTCCAATCTGGATACCTGATCCACTCGGACGTCTGAGAGGTGACCACAGGCAGTAACTTTTATCAAGATCAATGCTTGAGAAGATGATGGGTGATTATGTACATTCTTTCGAGGTTTCCAATCAGAGATTTCAGACTGAAGGGAAATCATGAGTTGGCATCATTATCGGATGATAATGATAACGAGGCAGCTTGTCGTCGCTGATAGAATCACGTGCTCAGAGGTCAACAAAACGTGAATGAGAATCAAAAGCAAAGGAGCAATACGAACAAAATATGCGTGAGAACAAAATATATAATTAACTTCTTAATTCACAATCTTGTATAATTAACCTCCGTCTGCTTAGGAAATCCATGGTGCTCGAACCACTTTCTTCGTTACAGGCATGTGCTCCCATCTACACGCTTGACGTTGACGCATTTGTGGGATTGAAAAGCGTAGGTTATATTCAAATTCGCATCCCTCCGTAATTTACAGTAGCTCTGACGATATGATATGTCGTTCATTTTCTCTGTAATTCATCTTTCACGGGAATTTGGCCCGGAGAATGGCTAAAGATATGGATCTGTATTGAAATTACTTAACATTGCTTCTTCTCCAGCTAGTTCTGGCTTAGGATCATAGACAAGGGATTCTGATAGCGATTGTAGGAATCACAGCTGTGCAGCTCCGTTGAAGCCTCCTCCGCATACGATGAGCAGGCGGCGCCTTTAAGCGCAACCTTACTTGTAGCAAACCAACCTGTAGCTTGCGGTTGCGCCTGTAAGCGCAATTGAGCCGTGCCCTTCCGCAATCAATCTCCAAGTGACGGGGCGAGGGGGTCGCAGGAGTGTCGGTCGAAGCTCCCAGATGCGTTGCTAATGCTGGCTTCGAAAGTTCTTGTAGTGTTAGCCTTCGACGGGATCCACGTCGCGCAGCTTGGAGATTTCCCGTTTGTATTTGGTATACACAGCCGCCGACTTGAACCACGTAGCGCAAGATGCGTTGGAAGTGCAGTGTCGTTGGACCCAGATTAGTTCTCTTCACATTTATCGCCTATATTCTTAATCTGTAAACTGTCGTAGGACCCAGATTAGTTCTCTTCGCATTTATCGGCTATATTCTTAAATCTGTAAACTGTCGTAGGACCCAGATTAGTTCTCTTCACATTTATCGCCTATATTCTTAATCTGTAAACTGTCGTAGGACCCAGATTAGTTCTCTTCGCATTTATCGGCTATATTCTTAAATCTGTAAACTGTCGTAGGACCCAGATTACTTCTCTTCCCATTTATCGGCTATATTCTTAAATCTGTAAACTGTCGTAGGACCCAGATTAGTTCTCTTCGCATTTATCGGCTATATTCTTAAATCTGTAAACTGTCGTAGGACCCAGATTACTTCTCTTCACATTTATCGGTTATATTCTTAAATCTGTAAACTGTCGTTTGACCCAGATTACTTCTCTTCACATTTATCGGCTATATTCTTAAATCTGTAAACTGTCGTAGGACCCAGATTAGTTCTCTTCACATTCATCGGTTATATTCTTAAATCTGTAAACTGTCGTTTGACCCAGATTAGTTCTCTTCACATTTATCGGCTATATTCTTAAATCTGTAAACTGTCGTAGGACCCAGATTAGTTCTCTTCACATTCATCGGTTATATTCTTAAATCTGTAAACTGTCGTTTGACCCAGATTACTTCTCTTCACATTTATCGGTTATATTCTTAAATCTGTAAACTGTCGTTTGACCCAGATTACTTCTCTTCACATTTATCGGCTATATTCTTTAATCTGTAAACTGTCGTTGGACCCAGATTACTTCTCTTCACATTTATCGGTAATATTCTTAAATCTGTAAACTCTCGTTGGACCCAGATTAGTTCTCTTCACATTTATCGGTTATATTCTAAAATCCGTAACATCCTAGAAAACATGTCGGTGCAACGAACAGATGGGAAGATGCTCACTACTGGTCCCCTGATGACTCTAACGCGGCTCGGCAAAACAAAGTTGGGACTGTTCTGGTACCCAAATTTGGGGCAATAGACCGCATTTTTATTTCGCATATAGTGTATAATGGTCACAATATACCTCAGATTGTCGACCCGCACGGGAGGTATCGCCAGTTCGCACGATGTCCCACACTAGCGAAGCGAGCTCTTCGAGCTCGCCTTGCGCGGCATGTAAATTTCTACGACGGAAGTGCACGGCCGAGTGCGTATTCGCGCCTCACTTTCCTGCGGATCAGCCTTTGAAGTTTGCTAATGTGCATAAAATCTTCGGGGCCAGCAATGTCACCAAGATATTGCAGGACTTGCCAGAATCGAGCCGAGCAGATGCGGTGACTTCGTTGGCTTTCGAGGCCGAGGCGAGAATGAAGGATCCGGTTTACGGATGTTCGGGCTCCATTTCGTTGATGGAGACAAGAATCAAGGAGTTGCAAGAAGAAGTTCAGGAACTGATGGACCAAATAAACTATTTAGAGGATAAGAAGCGCATGAGGCAGACTCAGGAGTCAAGTAGTACCCCGAATCCCTCGACCGGAGATAATAATCATCATTAGGAATCTAGTTGCCGGGATGGTTGCAGCATGCCAAGGGTTTCGTTTCGTGACATGTTTTGTGTGTAATGAGTCAAACCGTAATAGCACGTTGGAGACTACAGTGGATCTCAGGAATATAGTAGCCCTGTTATTAAAAACATCTTTGCATCGCAGTCACCAGTGTGGCCTCCCGCTGCCTTCGTGGCAAGCGCAACCCTGAGTTCACTCATGAGGGAACAGTAATTCAAAACATGGGGTGCTTCTAGAATGTACATATCAGTAGGTCTACATCGGCGAGATCTGACGCTACTTGTTATTACTGGGAGGGTGAGGTGCTCAGCTGGAGAAAACACGACTGTAAGCGCAACCGCAAGTTATAGCCACAACGATGAGCACTACAAGAAGAAGAGCACAGAGGTCCACGGCAAAGACGAGAAGCATGACCACGAAGACGACCACAAATACAGAAGTGATGCTGATAGACATGTCGGAGATCATGACTAAGACGGCCGACATGCACGTAACAGAGATGGAAAGACGAAGCAAGAGGAAGGAAGCGACTGCGCCACGAAGTGGAAAAAAGGACCCAATCCTTACAAGCCTGCAGCGGACGTGAAGCATCAGACACCAGCTAAACCCGTCCTCCTCCTCCTTCTCCATCTCCCGTTGCTGTCATGAATTCTGATGCTGCAGAGTCACCACATCCACCTCCTGTTGTGTTCCCCACACATCTAATTCCACTTCACAAGAGAAGCTTTTCTCCTCCTCCTCCCCCACCAGTGGTAGTCAGGTCATCTCCACTTATTTTCACAGGCCCATACTGATTGGAGCTGCATCTCACCTTCTCCTATGGCCGCGGATTTCCAAACTTCACATACTGTTCGGTGACTGGAATCTTGTATTCTCTATCTCCACTGTTTTACCATAAATGTATACGGTCTCAATACCGGCAAAAAATAAACACTTTTTGCAGATGGTTACATATCTTTCTGAGCTAATCAAGACGGGTCGAAGAATCCAGCTAAACCCTATGGAAGTGTTTGAAACATACTCAACAGTCGCAGTACGTTACTACTGAAGTAAGATTCACTGTTTACATTAATACTTGATATTTTGTTCAGTCTTTCTGAGACTGATAAATCCTGATTGTTGGTAGATTGCTCATGTGCATGGTGTTTGAAGAATTTCTAATACTAGAGGAGAAGCAGTGCTCGATCAAAATCTTAGTAGCCATGTTCTTTGATACAAGTTCATTGAGATTCCAGAAGAGTGAATGTGCTCTGAACATTCGTCCGAGAATTAAGATGAGTTTGTAATATCAGGGATACCAGTAATTTTGCAACTTTACATGGTAATCGAAACCAAGGGTTTCAGGTGTCGTATATATATGGGTACAAGGTTTTAGGTAACCAACATTACGACCTATCCTTTACCAGTACAATAAATGCCGTGAAACGGATGACTGCATGAAACTGATTTACACCCACTGAAAGATCCTCAAATTCAAAGGCGATTGACGGTCAAATACAGAGCATACACCCTGAATTAGTGAAGAGAACTTGTAGCTATTCACAATGATTCCGGTGTTGCAGAAAGAATAACTCAAACATGGGAAGAAAAGCTGTAGAGGCATCAACATTTGAACCTAGGCCTCTTAACCATGGACACATTCAGCCATTGTTACCTTATTGCAGAGGAAAGTCTGGAATGTGAGGTACTGTCCAGCTGTGCGCTAAGAGGAAATACAAATTCTGCAACAATAGACGAATAACAGCATGCGGCTGACAGGATCAGTTACTGTACTGTGATGAATGTGGAGAAAAAATGGAACACTTCGATTTGGACCAACTATGTGCGTGGATAGAGAAAAATACGTGTAAAAACAAATTGAGCTGGATGCCCTTTCTCTTGGGCACCAAGACAGTTAGTATTCCACACTAGTCCGTGGTTTAGAAACAGTAATAATCGTCAAGTTTGGAGGTAAGGGAGTTGCAATGAACTCTGAGTTCCAAGACACCTCAATGTCTTTTAAAAAAAGAAAATTTACGACGATTAGCACAGACCAGGTGCAAGCTTGTGTCTCTTAGGATGGGGAAATGTGTGAATAAGGAAAGATATAGAATCAACGAACAAGTCAAGATACATTGGCCCTGTGAGGAAAGGGATTATAGTCAAGTCATGGATAAGGAACAGTATATAGTTGAGTTAAACCCATAACAGAGGCAGAACCTGGGCGCTTCTCGTGAGATACATAGACTCGCGAGCCCAGCCAGTTCTCTATACCTTTCTCGGCCTTTTGGCTAAGATCAAGTGTAGTATCTGTTCTTATCAGTTTAATATCTGATACGAGGGTCATCGACCCTTACGATATTAATCTAATTTCTCTCACGGGTGCGAGTCCAACGGTGCAGCTTGCTGCTTCGGACTCGCCAGCGTCGCCTTGGTATTGCACTATGTCCTTGGCAGGCGCAGCCCTCTTTCCTCTCACGGGGAAACCAAGTACCACAAGTAGGAAGGCCAAAGAGTGGCATTATCATGTGAACTGAGGTCCAAGTGGTATCATGGTTGCTCTACCTGCACTGGAACCCCTGCACTGATCTTACAGGGTGGAAGGTTAACTTGAATGTATCATTATAGTCAGCGCCTGCGGTGTGAAAGAACATTGAACTTGAAATAGACTCATTCATGATCGACATTATATTTGTTTGTTCAAAGGGGGTTCTTTCAGGGGGTTCTTTTGGTTCTCTCCTAGTTTGGAGTTGGATTGTTTGTATTGTGTTTTTTAGCCTTTTGACCCTTTGGGTCCCACGGGCTTGATCTATTTACCATTAAAGATGCTCTCAAAACTCGGTCTAGGTAGGTATGAAACCTGCGAAGGGTCTCTACATCTTCAAGCTCACAACTGCAAACGCGCGATATGGCTGCTTTCTTTATGGCCTGAAGTTTGGACACAGCACTCAGACGGACTATTTACTTGTGAAATGCAAGATGGATCCAATCCGAATCTTGAAAAAGATGGATGATTTTTCTGCGTTCAAATTAATGTTAGCTCATCGGCTCTAATCTGGAAATCTGATCCACTCGGAACGTCTGAGAGGTGACCACAGGCAGTAACTTTCATCAAGATCAATGCTTGAGAAGATGATGGGTGATCATCTACATTCTCTCTCTGCGAGCGAGGTTTCCAACCAGAGATTTCAGACTGAGGGGAAATCATAAACTTGGCATCATTATCATCCAGGCAGCTTGTCGTCGCTGATAGAATCACGTGCTCAGAGGTCAACGAAATCTGAATGAGAATCAAAAGCAAAGCTGCAGCACTGAAAAAGCGTGCATCGATCGGCCAAAGGCGAAGAGTGGGAACAAAATCTATACAAAACAAAATCATTTGTAATTGTTAATTATGCAGCGCGTCTTGCATTTAGCCCCTGGCTAATAGAAGTGATGGAGAAACATCTGAACACATGTCTCAAATTTTCTTCACATCTCCGATAAGCCTCCGTCTGCTTAGGAAATTCATGGTGCTCGAACCACTTTCTTCTTCGTTAGAGTCTTAGACTTTTGTCAGGCATGTGCTCCCATCTACAGGCTTGAGGTTGAAGCAATTGTGGGATTGAAAATTATAGGTTTTATTCAAATGCGCACAACGTCCCTCCGCATTCTACAGTAGCTCTGATGATATGTCATTCAATTTCTCTGTAATTCATCCTTTTCACAGGAATTTGGTCCCGGAGAAGTGGCTACAGATATGGATCTGATAACACGGCAGTGCGTACTGTGTAGGTACGAAGTTACAATTGAATGCAAGTGCAGTTGCGGTTCACGTAGTCCAGAGTTGAATAGTTCTGACTGACGAAGTTGTCTTGCATTCGCTCATCTGTCATTAACCGAGTGAGACTATATTTAGCCTACATCCGAGATCCTGCCCGCGCCCGCAGCCGGTATCACCGGTAATCAAATCACTTGACAGAACTGCCCATGGGCTACTTCAAATCACTCGATAGTTCGAAGAAGAACCCAACGATACGCCACGACTGCTGTACAGGAAACCCGCTATGACGGCGCCCGTGCTTTCGAACTGAAACACGGCCTCATGAGTTCCCAAACTCCAAGAAGAGGCCGAAATATTTCTCCCGATAATCTCCTCGTCGGGTCCCTTTCTGAGATTATTTGCAAGAAATCCTCGAGCCGAGCAAAAGTTACGGCCATGAAGCAGTCCTGCCAATGCCAATGCTCAGGATTTTAATCCACATCACTCCATATACAAAGGAACCGTCCAGAACGGTCCCGGCTAAAGCTTCTGAATGGAGTTGAGAAGCGAGCTCGCTGCCCTCGCCATTTGGTAGCCGCTGGCTAGACGAGGCTCGCCTGATGAACAATTCCGTTGAGCACAGAAATCCGGTTGGTTGTAAACATGATCATAGATTGTTCACTTCATCTGTCAGCTCCCATTCATATTCGTTCCATAAATCGTCATTCTAAGTTTGACCCTGCTACTCCCAGTGCTGAAACAATCATTGATAAAATCTGGTTGAACTTTACCATCAGGTTTGCAGGTCAGATACTACGTCATGATAGCAGGATCGGAGGGATCGATAGTTGGACTCCGAGTTACACACCAGTTAGTCTGAGCTCTAGCTTACAATCACATCTCCGCTTGAATTCATGCGATCATACTTTGTCACAAATGTTGGGGATACGACGAAGGTCGAACTTGGTGGTTTAATGGCCTTCAAGAGATGACTAAACAGCTTTATGCCGTTGATGAGATCCGGTGCCGTTGATGCGGTGTGTAAATGTACCGTGAAGTTCCCAAGCACCGGCTCATCAAGCGTTGGAGCGAGACGCTTCTCTTTCTTGTTCTGGGCATTCTAGGAATTGTGCTCAAACTGTGAGGAAGTAATACTTGCGTTGGTCCTGGCTCACCAGATGAATAGAAAAGTAGCAGGGCTCTGGGTAATTTTGGTTCCCATAGTAAGAAAATGTACTTGAAGTAAGGATGAGATGTGTCACTTATATCACAAGGCAATGTGTTAGTTGCATGAACAGAAAATGACATAACCCGAGCCCTTGGCCATACTTTGAAAACAAATAGCAACCATTGTTAAAAGATTTTTTTTAGCGATCACCGTGTTGCACGTCACCGATACGTAATTTCATCGGAAAAAATTATTGGCTGACTTGAAAAATGGAGATAAACAAAACACGTAAACACAGAAATAAGTAATTAATATTCAGCTCGGCATGTTTGAGCTCAGAGATATCTCCACGTCGAGCGAAGTATTGCCATCAGTATTTTAGCAAGTGTTCATCTACAGCTATACACTTTATTTGCATTGAAGGGCCTGTCTACGTTTTAAGATTCGACAAATGCCAAAACTGTGCACACTGAATTGATATCATTTCCCATGTTACCAGTTCATAGAACGACATGCCGACACGTTTCAGAAGAACTCTCCTCCAAAACTTCTTATGAAGTTCCACTCTCTTACAAAATGTATGTCTCATCGAGACAACAGTGGATATGTGCCTCACTTCGGAGGTCTGTACATACCATATGGTCTTCCGTTAGTGTAGTGTCTGATATAGGCCTTCCCAGATGGAGCCTGGAGGAAGAATACCCTGAGACTCCTGTTGAGGATAATGATCGCAGACATTGTCCAGAACCCTATTACTGCACCCGCCAAAACTGCCGGAAAAGAAATCCACTTGTTTGCAAGCCAATGATTCTGCTGGGAGCTCTGAAGAAGTGCCGTGTTGACACAACGGGCCAAGGGAGAACCGCAGAGGCCATCATTATAAGCATATAACGAAGAGTTAAATGAGCTCATTTGAGGTCCTGAGGGTATCACTCCCGAAAGATGATTGTGAGCGACATTGAAGTATGTCAGTGATGATAGATGACCAATCTCCTCTGGTATTGCCCCAAACAAGCTATTTCTGGACAGATCTAGAGACTCAAGATTTGATAAGTTACCT